ATAATAATAAACTTATGGAGGAGGGCATTGCACATGGTTTTATGACATTTTTTGGCACCATTAAATATCAAAACACCACTGTGTGTTGTTTGATTTTATTAGTATGTTAGAACAGCCTGAATATTGAAATATGAGCACTTATGCTTTTGCAACATGCTTTATCATCATTATGTCACTACACCCCATATCTGTTTAAGGTTAGATAGAAAATGTAATTGAAGAAATTGTTTACTTTTTATACTTTCGCATAGAGAGTATCCAGTATCCACAAAGTATCCAGGCTTGACGTCACGTGATGCTTCTGGTACTACAGGTGTTTCATTGTAATWAACTATCTAAAATGGCTAAAATGTGACTCACCTTACAGCAGGCTACTTTRGAGTGGGGGTGTGGGCCTGCTGCACTTTATGAATAATGAAAAAGTGACGTAAACAATGCGGTCCTCTTTGCGGCTCGAGGCGCGCGCACGGGGCGTGATGCGCTCGTGACGTCGCTTCGGTCGGGGATCTTTAATCCTCTGCCGCAGCAGCAGCAGCCGGTCGGTCACCCGAGGAGGGGGGAGCTCGGTCGGACTGGGAATGGGCCGCTCGGGCTGCAGCCTAGCGAACAAGGCCGAAAAACAGTCGGTAGGAAAATAAAAATAACATCAAACGGAAGAAACGCGACCGATGCGAGAGGGTGTTTTTTTATATATATATCAGGCCTATTTATTTATTTGTTTTAGCCTAAACCAGACCCTGTGCATCAGCCTTTTTCACCTATATGTCCCTGCTGAAAAGACCTCACGTAGAAATATCTCCTGCCAACATAAAGTCCTTTTAAAACGCTTAATTTAACAGATGTAGTCGCTTCGTGGCTCGTTCTCCGGGTCGCCCTTTTTGACGTCGCCGCTTTTCCTGTCAGCTGCTGCGCATCAGCACAACATGCAGGATGAGCCTRTGGGGGTGACAGCCGCACAGTTACCCGCGTCAACCGAGGACGAGGACCGCAGCAAACCCGCACCGCAGCCCGACCGAACCGACAGCCGGCGGAGCTCCTTCACGCCGGATCACAGCCGCATAAACCCGAAGCTCTCCTTCGCCGAGCGCTTCTGTCCGACCCGGTCCGTCTGTGACCTTCAGCACGGCCGAGAAATACATCAGCAGTTGGGTCAGTTTACCCCCGCGGAGTCGCCCCCACCCCCGAGACACTTCAGTCACCTGCAGCGGGGGCAGTCCTTAGCGGACCCCGGCACCGCTGCCGACCCCCGCGGCTCCGCTGTGGAAGAAGAAGCCGATGCTGCGTCGCCCACCTCCGCGAAACTAAACAAAATCCAAATGGACTCCCCCATCGCCCACCACCTCAACAACGGCAATGGCAGCGGCGGCACCGGGAGCATGTTGTCCGCGTTCCCCAACCTCCCCGCCCAGGAGGCGCAGGGTGGCGGGGGAGGCTCGGGCTCCTCGCCGTCCCTCCCCGGCGGCTTCGGCACCCCGTGGTCCGTCCAGACCAGCTCCTCGCCCCCGCCCGCGGCCAACTCCATCAATCCCATCCACCCCAGCGCCATCAGCCAGCTGCCCGGGGCCGAGCCCGAGAGCAGCTTCTACCCGGGGCTCCCGTCCTCCATCAACCCGGCCTTCTTCCAGAGCTTCTCGCCCCTGTCGGCGGCGAATAACCCGTGCGCCGGGATCAACGTGCAGGGCTTCGGCGGGCCCTTCTCGCCCCAGATCAACGTCCCCCAGCAGCCGCAGAGCCGCAGGTCCCCGGTCAGTCCCCAGATGCACCCCCAGCAGAGCGCCTTCCTGCAGCAGAGGAACAATTACAACCAACACCAGGTGAGCTGAGCTGGAATAAACCCCATGCATTATGATGGAGCTAAGTCCTCCCTCATGTGCTGCAGGTTAGTAATTTAGTGTCCAAAAATAGAATAAAAACCCACTAAGAACTGCAATCTCTGCAGCTTATTTAAATAAAGACATCACTGTACATTTGTATGAACCTTTGGTCAGACAAGTGACTGAGTGAAAGCCTTAAACCGGCTTGTTTTKTTGCTTAAAGAAAGAGACTTTATTCTAACATTATTCTAAGGTTCATACTCTCAGGCAATAAAAAGAGGAGCAGTGAACTGAACACTGGGAYAAGTGAGCATCACTGAATCTTGCTGTTGTTCTCTGGAAGCTGGTRGTGGGTTGGAGTCACATGGCACAGAACCGCCCCTGTCTTGTGGTGGAATCAGAACACAAAAGGCTCGGAGGGTCCTGTCTTCTAAATGTGGGCTTATTTTTGGCGAAATGAAAAACATCCAGTGTGTTGGTGTCGTCTGTGGAGAGACAGCAGAGGTTTGCATGAATGTTCCGGTTCTGCAGCACGAGGGGCTCCCTCAGCTTCAGGTTTCTCATGTGATTTGCACACTGGCTGTGAGCATGTGGGACTGGGTGTGCCTGTGGTGCGTCTGCAGCGGTGCCGTTTCACCGACCTTTAACCTCTGGCTTTGAGTTTCAGGGAAATATATTTGCATGAATCCATCACACGACGTTTGTTCCTGCAGTCTTGTGCACACAAAACATGCAGAAACTGGGGAAAAAAATCTGTAAATTAATACTATTTTTTCTATTTTTTTTTATTTTGTATTCAGTCCATATTACAAGAAGAAAAACAATTACTCCCCTCTGTGTAGTGATGTCATTAATCATGAAAGCCTAAAAATGTTTGGGTTTTTATATCAGTTTTCTAACAAAATTAAAGGCCCAGCATTCTTTACAAGAACACACATCACCCACTGCCTTTCATGCCACAGTCTGAAACAACTAGCTTCTTATGTTGAGAAATGGTGGAGTTGTAGCCTTTTTGGTTACACTTTGAAAAATAAAGGAAAAAAAAGCACAACTTTTTCTGCTGTGTCCAAATTCAGCGGCTGCTTGCTCTGAAGGCCGAATTTGTCGGCAGCTTACGTCACAGTGCTGCTCCAGAGGTTGTCCAAACTCAAAGACTCCTCAGATGAGCCCGACAAATGTGTCCTCCTTTTTCCCCAATTTGAGGGACGGGTCTGATAGATCCTTCTCAGCCCACCATATCCCATAATGCATTGCAGGCCGACCGTAGCTTTTTTATTGCTCATAATGGCGAACGAAGCGAGAGAAAAGAGTAGTTTTAAATAAAAATCTGACGGAATAAAAATTAAAAGTTTCAAGCGGTTGTGTTAATACTTTTATCATTTTTGTATATAGGGCAATATGTAAAATCAACTATTTTGACTTTTATATCATGTTATAATGTTATACTCTCATAAAAACATGCCCAAAGCCTTGCTTTGACTCATTCATGCATGTTTGAGAAATCCTGCAGCGTTTTTAGGAAGCCATATGCTGAGGAGCAAAACGACAGGTGGGGABCAGAAACGCCCCTGGGACGTGCTTTTAAGCCGAACTTCCTCATGGCAGAGGGCACCCCCACCCCCTCACCCCGCCCATGACTCCTGCAGGCTCTCGGGTGTAAGTGAAACCTAGCTGTGTGCTGAGCTCTCAACATTAGTTCTCCCCGCACCGAAATGGGCAAAACGGAAGGAGTTTCTTAAAGAGACAGAGACCAATTTCAAGGCGTTTAGAAGAAGAAGTGATGAGAAGTTAAGTTTATTTTATTTTAACATAAAAACAGCATTTTAATAACAGCTAAAGGTGACATAGATACTTTATAATCGAATAGTATTTTAATATATGCCTGAGAAACACATAATATTGGCTCTTTAATACTATTCTTGTCAGAAATCAAATGAGCWGGTATAGAGAAATAAACATGCACCTACGGCGAGCCTTTAAGCTTTTGTTGTTTTATGATATTTATAATATTAGTATATTGATATTTTGCTAATTTCAATCTATTTTCGTTCCTGTTTTGCATCGTCACAGGCTGCTGGTGACAGGGTGGGTAATCATCAGGGTTAAGATGAGGATAAAACAGAAGGCTAGACCGTCCAAATTCACAGCCACTTTTTTCCAATCTTCACGGTCTACCAAGGACCCGGCCCACCTAGACCAGGTAGGCCGGGTCCTTCAAAGGACGCAGACCCTGAATTTTGGACACAGCCATTGTCCTCAGAGTATCCACTACAAATTACAAAAAATAAATAAAATAAAATAAAATAAACTCTTCTTCTGAAGATGCTCCGTGTTGAAGGATCAGTGGATCTGTGTTCGACTACTCCACCTAGGCTGCATAGTCGAGCACAGACCCACTGAGGAACTTGCTGCTTCAGCAACATTTAATATAAAAACTGTACGTTTGAGATTAAAGAAATGTCAGGTGAGATAAGGTCACGATACACCTTCAATGTTTAAATCTTGTTTTATTGAAAAACGTTGAAACGGGATGCACCGATATGAAAATTTCAGCCGATATCAATATCCGATATAATTATTGCTGTTATGGCCGATAACTGATATTTACTGATATTACACAAACACATTTGGGTATTTTCTTGATACCATAAATAAACGACCAGACCTCTGACATGTCTCCCTACTTCAGTCATTCCTGGCTACACAGAGTAAATATCACTATCATGATCAAACAGATGCTGGTCAACCAACCATCTCCCYTCCCAGAACAGAAACACAAAGACAAAAAGTGGGAAATCAGTATTAGACGTTAATATCGTCCCAGTTTTACATATCTGACCGATACCGATGTTCTAAAAAATGACCAATATCGGCCAATACCGAAATTAATGCCGAAATATTGTGCCTCCCTTATTGAGACAATACAAACTTGTTTTAACTGGACATTAGGTAGTGCTCACAGCAGAGCAAACGTGGACAGTGGCTGATTTTCAGACCTGTGTAGAGGTAAATGAGAAGCCTATATTTTCCAATGATTTTATCTAAATATCGGCCATTCTCTAGCCTGGCCCTTGCYTTCCTACACAGATCATGTGTTGAGGATGACTTGAAGTTACTACCCCACCGAATTTTCTCTTTTTACGTAAACTTAAGAGACAGCCATTTTAAACTGGGATGATGGCAAAAGGTAATCAGATGCTAATCCAGTAATTTTTTTCCCAAAAGTTTCGTTCAAAGCCATTCACTGATTCATGCGATATTTTGCCAACATGCACACACAGACAAGGGCAAAATATTTTAAATTCTTATGTATGGTGTGTATGCAGCAAGTGCACAAAATGTGAATTGTTTTCTTTTCACATAAATGACATCTTTGTATGAATAATTGTGAAGGTTTTAAGCCTGCCTGGAATAAATCCTGTTAGTGTTTGCTTTCTGTGTATAATTCTCCTGTGAGACTGGGAGTGTTCTGACGTTTCAGTGGGGATAAGGTCCAGTTGGAGAGAGTGTGTAAGTTACAGTAGTCATGTTGTCGAGTACGAGATACTTAGTATTAGACTTAAAGCTCTAAATCTTCTTATCTGGCCACCCGTTACAGGAGCAAATCAAGTTAGGTAGTGGCCAACGATGGGAAAAGAAGAGATGGAAAAGAAGATAAAACAGAGCAATAAACATTAAATTTTTATTTAGACTGTTTAAGGTGCATTTGATCCGTCTGAACTCGTCTGTGCTTTCTCTTCACTGTAGCCTATGATGAAGCCATCTCCCTGGGGCAGTCACCAAGGGAATGGCTGGGGCTCTGGCGGGATGTCTTGGGGTCGGGACCACCGCAGAGGGAGCAGCATGGGCGTACCTGGCTCCGTCAGTCATATCTCACCCCTGAAAAAGCCCTTTTCGAGCAACGTCATCGCTCCGCCCAAGTTCCCCCGCACCGGTGGGTCGCTGGGACCCAAGTCCTGGATGGAGGAGAAYATGTTTCGCACAGACAGCAACAGCAACACCATGTTGCCTCTGCAGGTTTGTGTTTAGTTGTGTCAAGTGCTGTTGTAAGATAAGTTAATGCATGCATGTGTTTGCACGGGTAACAGGTAGGTTCTGTTTTACAGATCCTTTTCTGTAAGAGAAAAAGTGAAAAGGAAGTTTAAAAATATCTGCCTGGTCATAATTCTGTAGAAAAACTGGTCCTAGGAGTAAGTAAATATACTCATACCTCATACTATATAAAGGACCGGACAACGCATGGCCATGTGTTTGTTCGGCGTTCGTTTTCACACACACCTCTCATAAGTTTAAGTTAAAGTTTTTATTTATTTAGAAAGTCAAAAAGAAAAAATAAGTAGGTCCTCTGGATGGGTTCTTCTTTAGTGAAACATTCGGTCTCTCCTCCAAGAGACTTCTTCAGTCTGATGAGTTTCAGGTGAAACTCAACCTTATAAGCACTGTCTCCACCTGGACAAACAGGTTAGTCAAATGCAAAATAGGACCATCGACTAACAATAGGCTTGATTGGCTCTATTGTTCATAGAGGGTCATGTGCCCCATCAACTGACCCGTGTCGTGTTATGTGCATGTAGTGAATGCAAGCGGGGGTTCAACATCCCCTTGTTTTTGACCCTCTGTCCCTCTTTGTGTTGGTTATCATTGGGGCCCTGATTCACACATTTTGCTCACAGGGGGCTGAGTCACACTTGCAATAACAGCATTGTAGGCGGAAGACAACTGGACACAAAGGCCTCTACCTCTGTTTAATGGTGGATGGTTTTTCTTCACAAAGATGGCTTCCTGGTGGGGGGGCACTGGTGAGCAACATTTGGAGTAAGACGTACTG